TTTTTTTTATGAGATTCATCTTAACACGAGCCTTGTTCTAAATCTCCGGATCCACCAAAGATTCAGAACAATATATTTATTATACATTATAATAATTTTAGCACATATATTTTCTTCTCAATATATAAATTGAGAGTTATAAGAAGCTCGAAAAGCTTTATTTGTAGGCGTTTGGCGAAGGACCAATGGTCGCAGTCCTATATGGAACGACCATAAGAAGGAATAATGACCATTTATTTTTGCCTCTTTATGTGGATTACATATCTTGAAACGATCTTCGTAGATTCGAGGAGACTATTACTTGACCCATTTATAATTAAAACGTGCACAAATCGAAGCTTCTTCTTCCTTTCTTCTAATTTAATTTGCATGAGCCACTTTTTTCCTTAAAACCTTTATTAGGCACTACTAATAAAAGGTTAGGGTGAGGTTTTTATTTATTTTATTATTTTATTATTATTTTTGAAAGGTTAGGGTGAGGTGTTTCTCAATGTTGGTTTTAACTTAGGGGTGTAAACTAGTATAGTCGAGCTCGAGTCGGCCTTAACTTAAGGTTAAGCTGAAGCTTGATTAATTAATGGAGTTGGACATTGAGTTCAAATTTTACTCTTTGAGTTCGAGCTAGCTCAGAAGAGAACATTATTATTATAATAAATGAAGAATAAAATAAAAAATTAGGAGATAAATAATATGAAATCATTTGTTCTACAATATAATCTATCATTTTTGAAATATTTTTAATAATTTAAAGAGACAGTCTCGAAATTTATTATATTTTGAGTATAATGTATATTAATTATTTATCAAAGGAGCCGGCTCATTAGCTAATGAGTCGAGTCAAGGTGGCTTTGAGCTTGGCATGTTAGCTCATCAAACTCAATTCAAGAGCCACTTATCGAGTGGAGCTCGAGCCAGCTTACGAGTAGGCTTGGCTCACTTACACCACTAAAGTTGATTTTGTTGGCAATATTTTTATCGTTTTTTATGATGTAAGATTTGCATTTACATATTAAGACTATCAGTTTCATCAGTTATCCAATATATTTATAAGTTTAAGAGATTGTACATGAACAAAATAATAGTTTTGATATATAATTTTCATATATATTTATTTATTTTTTTAAATAAAAAAATTTGAAATCAAATCAAGCTTGAAAAGAGTCATCACACTCAAGAGTTATGGTTAATTTCCTTGATCTGAGTGAAATATTTCCTTGTTAAAACAACTTATTAAAAATGCAAATGAGTAGAAAGTTCTAAAAATTTTGATATAATAAAGAGAGTTTTATGCTTTAGCTTTGCCCAAGATCTTGTGCACAAAATCAAAAGAAAATAATACAAATGACAACAAATTTTATATGTAAAAATATGATAATGGGAAAACATTGTAGGGTTTGGCCCAAATAAAAATGATCAACTGTATTGAGTGAGATTACGAAGATTAGCTCCTTATTGTGAGAATACAATATTATGAAGTGCAGATCTTTTGTGGGTTTAGTAGCGAAAACTAGAGCAATAGTAGTGGGTGAAAATGTCGGTCGAGAGATAATCAAAAGAAGACAATCAGAAGATGATGATCTGTAGGTGATAGTTAAGAAACTACAGTAAAATGATGTTGCTAAAGAAAAAAAGTTGTGTGGCTGTAATAGAGTGATCGCAATCGAGTAATGATGATAGACAACAAATGTCAAATGATGGTAGTGATGGGATAACAATAGTTGGAAGAAGATGAATCGGTGGAAGTAGACGAGCGACAACAATCTGAGGTGATTATAGTAGTGATCATGAGGAAAAGCCCTTAAGTTCTCATCTAATTTTAGCATTAGTTTTTCTTTTTCATGAAAAATGATGGTTTATTTATAATTTATTATAGTATCATTTGATCATTTTAGTTACAATTCAATAAATTCTTGATTAGATGCCCAATATTCAATTATTTTATCATATATTATTTCCTTAAAATTTTAGTTGTGTTAATAACTTCAAAAAATAAGTGATATTAAACTTATTAAAATTTACTCAACAAGCTCTATTTGATTATAAAAATGCAATATTTAAAAATCATTTAATCCTTCAATTAAAATTTTTATATTTTCATCTTGTTGAGTTATTTAGTTTTGACTATATATTTGTTGAAATTAAAATTTAGAAGATCATCCTTTTAATTTTAAACATTTTTTTGATCTTTTAAGCAATCAAATATTAAAAATAAAAAATAAAAAAATATGAAAACATAACTAAACTTCTAAATTTCCTTAACAAGCAATCAAATACTTGCAAAATATTTAAAATTCTTGATTGCACTTTATATGCATCAATGTTTTGAAGGGTATTTACGTTTATACCACGCAAATCA